AAACACGTTTGGCTCGCCGAAGCGCACCAACTCCAAAAATTTCGCGCACGCGCGACCAGGGATACCCTCCGTATTCTGTTGGGTTGTACAGTGGACAAAGCCGTCAATGATAAGGCAAACATACATTTATGTATGTGTGACTAGTACATCCATGATCATCATCTTCGGAAAGACGATGACGAGATGGATGCTTCTAGTCATACATACATAGATGTATGTTATAAAGGCCTACCATTTACACGCCTGTACAGGTTACCAACAGAACGTCGGATATCCCTGGGAAGGTTCATTTTGTTTTAGAGCCACCCTCAAAAGCTCCGTTAGTTTTGAATTTTTTTGTTCTTCTATTACGAAGAACGAGAAGAAACAAGGAAATGCGAAGAAAGACGACGTTGACGGAATTTTAATACGCAGCGTATAATGACAATCGGTTGTTTTAACGCATGCTGTGATATTGAGTGCACGATATCTATGTCGTCTTTACACATGTTATGTTCAATTTATTTTTCTTTTCGTCTGGAATGTGTAAGAACAAATGACATGTCGTGCACTCAATATCATATTATACGAGTGATGATTGCACGAAAGAAGAACACAAAAAAAAATTATCGACTATTCTCTTTGATTAGTAATATATACATATATAAGAGATAATTGAAAGAAGAAAATGAAAAAGAAATTTTTATAAATTTAATGATTTTTGTTACTTATTACATAACGTTTTTATACATTTTATTTTTATATTAGTACAAAGAATGACATCGGTGATGATGCAACTCATTGCATATCTAATTATGATATTCAAACAACTTTTGTAAGTAAAAATCTTTACCAGGCGGCTTGTATTCTAGACTATTTCGATACTTTTAAGATCGTGTGCCATGTTTTCTCACTCCCATTTATAGTTGATCGTCTCAAATAGATTACGAACAATCTTTCATCCATTAATATTCAGATCTGTAACTCATTTGAAATTGCACGATAAACTTCCATTTAAACATGAATTTTTCATTCTAATTACTCAAGCTTTTTCATCACTTAAATTATTATCTATTATGAATATTCAATCACAATTTTGAAGATCTTACAAATATCCATTCATTGATAACTATTCATATTCGGTTGTTGAATATTCTTATCTTATTTTACTTAATTTATATTTTTGAATGAATTTAAAACACATTTATCATGTTTAACTAAATTAAAAGATTTATATGGTCAATTAAAAAGTGTAATAAAAAGCTTAACAAGAAATAGAACAGAACAAAATTGAACCAAAGTGAAACAATTAATTGTTGAAGACTCAATAATTCTGTCTGAAGGTGTTCGTCATTATTTCCTTTCATTATAAATTCAATCTTATTTTGATTTCACTTAAATAAAAACCAATAATTTATATCTTTCGTTTTTCAGAAAAATGGAAAAGGTGTTAAATATTATTTATTAATGATCGGACTATACGTAACATAAAACAAATCGATAAATCATTTTTGATCGTTCAATCTGAAGAAAGAACCATGAAAATAGTTATTTATTGCTTCAATTAGACAAATGATAACAGAATTATTTTACATTAAACATAAGCAATAATTATTAAGATTCCATAGTGAATGAAAGTTTTATTTTTTCTAACTAACTTCTTTTCTGTAAGTCTAAAGATATTGCAACAAATGAGAAATACAGTGGACATACTCAAATGATTTTTAACATTTTCCATGAAAACTTAAGAATTTCCAATAAAAAAATGATTAGGACATCTATGATAAAATGCTGCAAATATATTGAAATAATTTATATAGATAGATGAATATAAGAGACTTTTGTGGTAAAAACACGTTTTTTTGTACCAAAAAGAAAGAAGTATGTAGTGGAACATGATTGGAAACCATTTGTTCACGTTTTCAACGAAAAACGAGATGTTCCAATGCAGATCTTTGTAAATTCTTTTCTCATATCAATGTTTAAGTTATAATTTCGTTAGTAACTTGGTTGTTTTATCAGATTCATTTCGAACATAATTAACTAACATGTATTCAACCTCGCTCATAATTCATATTAATAAATTTAATTTCTTAATCTACAGACAACGAATAATAGAAGTTATTTTATTGTTTCTCAGTAGTCGTTCTCTTTTACAAAGTAACTTGATATTAATTCTACAGATATGTACTGTCAAATTTTACCGAAGGATAATGTATTAAACCGTTCTATCAAACAACGAAAATTATTTCATCATATTCAAAGCAAGCAAACCAGAGAATCGTTTCAAATCGACATGATAAATTCCGATTATCTGAAGTAAACGGGCTTGAACTAAAATTTAATGACACTGTAATGTTGAGACGATTCATGCCATAAGTCTGAATGAACTAGAATGATCTCAACTGATGTCTAAAAATCCGCTTGAAAGAGTCTAAACCTAATGGAATCAACGCTGATTTTGAAATCAACGAGAACAGATACCACAGTTAGATCTTACCTGAAAAAGCTGAGTAGCAGTAACAACAATAGAATGAGATAATTTTTTGAACAATGTCTTTTATTATGCTTTAATGATCATTTACAATATTGTATATCTTCAACGAATAATGAATGTAGATAGTTGGTATCATGCAGATCTCTATTCAAAACAAAAGTCGATTTATCTCAATAATTGTTCGACTATTTTACATCGAACACTAGAGTTTGTTTTATAAAAATGATGAGAGTCTTGAGATAGTGATTTGAATTATTCCAATTAAGTTAATTCCAATCCTTTCAACAATTTCACTTGAGAAGGACTTGGAAAACTACTAGTATTTTTTGAGTAAGTTTTCAGGTATTGTTCCTCAGACACGAAAAGGTTCGTCTCATTTTGCTCTATCTTCTCATGTGAAATGAGCCAAAGATGAACGAATTTGATCGATTTTCAATTGAAATAATGAAACATAAACAAAAACGAACAGTTTTTTTCGAGTGATCCTTCCTATCTTTGGATGAATATGTCATTTTTATGAAAAATCTTACGAAAAAAAAAATAAAAATTCTAAGATCTATTCTTAAGAAGTTAAATGAATATTAATCAAAGCACATTTGAGTTCAATATCACTAGATTTTATATTTAATGAAATTTAACTTGAAATTTTCTTTCAAACTCGATGAAAAATAAACTATTCTCTCTTGATAACAAAAAAAAGAATTTGGAATCATCTATCAATTCTCTGAAAATAGAAAATTCCGTTGTGTGGATGAGAATCAAATACCAATTGTATAATCAATAATTTATGTAGTTCTATAGTTTACGTCTCTCTTTCATTCGTACGTAGATTGGGAATGTACAGTGAATAAATATTCTGAAATAAGTCAAAACAATTTCAATTCAACATTATACTGAAAATCTTTAGTATGATGCTATTAAGAATGTTATAGATTCATTTATTTTACAATAAACCATGTTCTTCAGACCATTTTTCATGGTGATATTTCTTTTTTCTTTCTGACTTTATTACATCTAATTATACAATCATTTGAGATCATGAATATTTGATATATATGGAAGTCATGATTTATTAAATTCATGTAGAATTATTCTATAAATAGCTATTTAAAATGAAAAATCTTATTGATAAATTTTATATAGCAGAAGAAATTAATGCTAATTATGTTCAGGTTTTTTTTTCTTTGTGAAATCGAATCTACTTTTATTAGTATATTTATAAATACTTATTAGAAAATAGATTGATTTACACCAAAGAAAAACTATTAGATAATTACATTATTTTCTAAGATAATATTTATAGAAATATAATGAGATTTATCGATCTCTATCAGATATGATTCTATTTTATTTTCAACTTTGAATAAAAATTGTTCAAAATTATATGTATATTGTTTTATTTTTTATTTTTTTGTCTTTGATTTTTCTTACAAAATGAAATTATTTGTCTAGTTCATTCCCCTATTACGAATGAATAATTTATTTTTAGGTGACAGATAAATTTTTATTTTTGTCTTTGTTCATAAAACTTTTGAAAATCTCAAGAATATAAAATATTCTTGAAATATCAATAACAAACGAAAGAAATTTAAAAAAATGTTTTGCTTTTTATTTCTTCTTGAAAAGGTGTTGTTTTTTTATTATTTCGATGATAGTTATTGCTTTAATTTTATTTTTGCTCATGTTATAGTATTTTATTTTTTAAAATATTTTCTAGAAAATGAAACTAATTGATTTATGAAATCCTAGCAAAACGAAAAACAAAAACAAAAATTGACGTTTTTCTATAAGTGAGGACAGTCGAACAAGTTTCAATCAACAGATATCTTTTATAGCAATTAAATATAAATGCGAATCTTTATACTTTCATCTTCAAGATAAATGTACATTTATTTATTTATTTATAAATTCAAAATACAATGATTTCGTAAATCGATGTGAAGCTATCACGACGGATTTAGGTGAACTTGAAGTCTGTAACGCTGAGTATTGTGGGGAGGGAAGTTGGATGAAGATGCTCGGCAATATGTACACAAGCATCTGCACCCAGATTTCCGCCCTGAAAAGTCCAAGTATTCAGTATTTTATTATTTTATTGAACGAAAGATAATATATTCTTCAGTATTTAAATTCTTTACTTTATATGATAATAAATTGCATAGTTTCAAAGTATAAGTTCTGTTAATAAATCAACAAGTTGTAGTAAGTTACTAATAGTTATTTTTATGTCGTTGATTTCCAAATGATAAATACGTGCTAAAGTTAAAATACGTCTAGTATTCATCATTAAAACTTCTTGAGCATCATTATGACTAATATATGAAACAGTCAATCGAGGTTTACAACGTTCAACGAAAATATCATCAATATTATTATTTGAATATTCATATCATGTTTTTCTGAAAGACGAAACAGAATCAATTTCATATTTAAAAAAAAATTTTATGTACCTATAAGGATGAATACAATGATGGATAGATTTTTCCTCGGCAACTTTAACTTCAAACAGTAATCGTCGTTGAATCTAAAATGATGAATGAAATTCATTTTGTTTTCCGTTGTACATTGGATATTCATCATCATCATCATCATCATCATAATTATCATAATAGTATAAATAAAATTTTTCTAATTCACGTTGTGATTCTACAATTAAATATTCCCATCGACGAGCTGCAAGAAATTGTATATCTTGAGATTGT